CCTGCTGCCTTTGCTGGCGCTGCTGCTGGCGGCGGCGGCCAGGATCATGTCTGGTCGCCGCTGCGCCGGCGGGGGCGCGGCCTGCGCGAGCGCCGTGGCCGAGGTAGTCGAGCCGTCCGCCCGCGAGCTGTTCGAGGCTTGCCGCAACGGGGACGTGGAGCGGGTGAAGAGGCTGGTGACGCCCGAGAAGGTGAACAGCCGCGACACGGCGGGCAGGAAGTCCACCCCGCTCCACTTCGCCGCAGGTAAACGCCAGCCCCGCATCGCCTCCCGCACGCCCCACCTGCAGGCTCGGGCTTGCAGGCCGCGAGCCACACCGCCCTGCCCAGGCGCCGACCTTTCCCCGGGACTCTCTCACCAGGGCCGTCTCCTTCTCTTCTTTCGGGGCTCGTGATGAGGGGGTGGGGTGAGCGTGCTCTCGGGAAGTTGTTTTGGTGGTAGGGTTTTTGTTTGTTTGTTTGCGTGGGTTGATGGGGGGAGGTGCTTTGTTTTGTTTTACTGTATCAACAATACCTGCACCGACTTCCGGTCTTGCTACCCTAAAGGGCCTCTTGCACACAGAGAGGCTTAGTAGACCTTGCGGTTTGAAAAAGTAATTATCTCGACAATTCACTCTTTGCAAGTTCCACGGTAACTCTTCCCAATCCCTGAAATTCTAGCGGCCTTCGTAAACTGTGAAAATGTAATTTAGAAGTTGTTTTATTGGCTATTGACTCATTAGAGTTAATTGGTTTAGGTTTCTGGAGAGACTAAAACCGGAAACAGGCAGCTTTGGGAGACCTGAGATCTACTTAGGCTGAGTGTGGGTGGCCTCTGCCACACACACGCACAAGTTGGGGTGGAAAGTGAGCGAGAGACAAGATGGAACATGCACTGGAGCTTGGATTTAGGATTTTGAGACTCGTTTTGAGTCATCCTGGAATTTATTTTAAGTAGTTTGAAATTAGTTTTAACCGCTAGGTTCTCTTTATGATACCAGAGTGCTAAAGTTTGTTGAGGTATTTAAAATAGCCAGGGATGGGGCCAGCTTATTGACTGAACCTTTTATGCTTCTCCTATAAAGGACAGATTGTAACTTTTTAACCTCGTGAGCCTCGGGTAATCGAAAAAGGTCATCATGGCTTGGTAACATTTGCTATAGTGTATGTCAAGATTGTTTAGCAGTTCTTTTTAAAAAGAAACATTTTAAGTTACTCTTGCTCCTTTGGGGGCAGGGGTGATGAACAGAAGAGCGTGAGAAAGATTTTCTTGCTCTCAGGCATTGCTTTTACAGTTAGACTGATTGTAGGTCTGGTTGCTTTGACCTGTCCCTATTTAAAATGTACTTGCTGTCATGAATCATGCTTCCTTAATTGAGAGCCTCTCTAAGAGGGAAAAGCTTGGGAAAACCTCAGGTAGGTGAGCTGAAAACGTCTGTGGACTCTGGGAAGAAAAGAAGATCACTGGGGCCAAATCTCTGTTAGCAGTGTTGCCTTTCTTCGGCTAATTTGAATTGTCCTGCTTGACCATTTAGCCAACCTATTTGGCAAACGGTCACAACCAACTGCTACATAATCCAGAGGGGTAATGTTACTTCGATTATGTTCACTTGATAAAAATAGCCAAGGACGATCTTAGTTGCCACCTTTCAAGAATCTGGTGTATTAGTGAGTTCATGTCTGAAAATAGTATTTAGAGATGTGGGTTTATGGTGTGACCTTGTTGCGCCTACTCCATCCCACCCTCAGTTCTTCCCCAATATACTCCTCTCCCACCCCAAGGATGGAATCTAAGGCCTTGCACATGCTAGACAAATGTTCTACAACTGAGTGGGGTAGAGTATACCTAGCCCCTGTCCCAATATTACAGAGCTTATTTTATATGTATTTTATATTGTTTGTCCAGATTGAAATGGAAATTTAAATAGCATAGGGGTCAACTCACCACTCAAAATTTACTTAGAGACAGTTTTAGGTTGTAAAATTAAGAAATTAGGATATAAAAGGCAAATCATAAAATAATTACTAAGAAGGCTAGGGAGATGGCTCAGTGGATAAAATGCTTACCTTGAAAACATGAGATCCCCACCACATTTAAAAAAAAAAAAAGAACAGTTGTATTGATACATAGCTATAGATCCTTGGGGCTTATTAGCCAACCCTTCATCAATGAGCCCCAGGGTTAATGCAAGACCCTGCTTAAAAAAATAGAGAACCATAGATAAAGATACCTAACCTGGCACCTATACACACTCACACACACAATTATTATAAAAATAATTGCTAAAGAATTGATACTCAATCATACTTTTGAAAGTCCTATGTTTCAACCCTAGAAAATAAGGAGGTTTTTAAAAGATGGCTTTGTAATTTTGGGGTTTGCTTGTTTATTGGGTTTTCAAGGCAGGATTTCTTCATATAATAGCCCTGACTGTCCTGGAACTCACTTTGTAGACCAGGTTGGCCTCAAACTACAGAGTCACCTGCCTCTACCTCCCTATTGCTGGGATTAAAGGTGTGCACTGTTCTGCCGCCACACACACACACACCCCTACCTGACTGGCTTGTAAATTTTAAAATCCAAATTATTAGATTAGTGGAGCACTTACTAATTCTGTTTTCCTATTCTGGGTATGGCACCCAGTAAGTACCTTGACCCTACTAAATGCATTTGCTATTGCTGAGCTACATTCTCAGCCCTATTTATTTTTAAGTAAGTATACCCACCCACATTTTCTCTGTGGGTAGTGAGTTAGCATTTGTGTTTATGTAGGCGTACTGTTGGGTGCTCGGTCTGTGGTCTCTGGTGATACTTGGTAATTGCCTGACCACGCAGTTATTTGTGTTTGTATTTTATAGGGTTGGAGATGCAAACACATTTTAAAAGATTTAAAATAGTCAATTAAAGTTTAAAGGTTTAATTGAGCAGGAAAGGTGTGCTTTGTCAATAAGAATGAGAGGTGTGAATGCTAGAGAAAATGAAAAATGGTTTTGTCTTTCCACGCATGCACACCCCTCAAAACAAACAACAACAAAAAAACCCTCTTAGTTCAATTAATCAGATGTCAGCCCCTTATGGGAATTAAGTTCTTTTTGTGATTGAGATAATTACATAAACAGATATTTTTTCTTCTGTTAGCTGCTTTTTATTGAACTACGTAGCATACTTCTAGGTAATACAATTTTTAAGAAGTCATTCCTAAGAAAAAATACACAGAAAATGATTTCCTTTTCCTTCTAGTCTTTCTCTGCCCCCAGTTATACAGATACAGGATATGAAATGAGTTTTTCTTTTTAAAAATTTGGGTGACATCACAGAATGTGTACAAACAAGTGGGTTTGGGCTCTAATTTTACTAAGTATAAAATTTTTGGCAGTAAAATTCTGTCTAATCAACATTTTATGTATGTGGTTGTTTGGCCTGCGAGTGTGTGCACCATGTGCATGCAGTACCTTTGGAAGCCATAAGATGGTATCAGATTCCCCTGGAACTGGAATTACAGATGGTTCTGAGCTGCCATGTGTGTGGTGGGAATTGAACTCTGGACCTCTGGAAGAGGAATCAGTGCTCTTACCCACTGAGCCATCTCTCCAGCTCCTTGTCTTTTTTTTTTTTTTTATGGTCTGAGCATTTTGTGCATGCAGACAGTATGGGTTTTTTTGTGTGCATGCATTGGCGTTTTTTCTGCATGCGTGTCTGTGTGAGGGTGTCCAATCTTGGAGTTAAAGGTAATTGTTAGCTGCCCTGTGGATGCTGGGAATTGAACCCCAGTTCTCTGGAAGAACAGTAAGTGCTTTTAACCACTGAGCCATCACAGCCCCCCCCCCTGAAATACTTTTGGAGTATGCAAAAAAGTATCAGTCAATACAGGAAAATGTACAGAGACTGTGGTTTAAGAAATCCAAGTATGGGCTGGAAAGATAACATTTAAGCAATTAAGAGCACTGATTTCTCTTCCAGAGGTCCCTGATTCAATCCCCAGCACTCACATGGCAGCTAACAACTGTCTATAACTCCAAGATCTGACACCCTCACACAGACATACATACATGCAGGCAAAATACCAAGCAAATAAAATAAAAATAAATTAATTTTAAAAAGAAATCAAATCCAGGTATATAGACAGTGGATAGAAAGGCAATACATGTGCTATGCTGTAAAGAATGAAAAGTTGAAAATGAATGTGCATTATATAGTTGTAGCCAAGAGATGTAGCACTGTTTTGATTTGTAGTATGTTATTGATACCCATTTTGAGCTGGTTAGATTCAATTAGAATCATCCACTATGTGAACTACTTAGAAGAAGTTTCTTCCATAGGAAGAAAGTGGAATAAGAACATCTAGAATTCATTATACAGGCAGTAGATAACTGGATTTCTAAAGACGAAAGAAGACTGGATGGTTCATGTTCACATATGTGCAACTCTTGAAGAGTGAATGGATGTGGCTGGCATAAAGTAGGAGAAAGGTTTCAAGAAGCTGAATAGCTTTTCTATTCAACTATGGATCTAGTTGGAAGTGTCAGAACATGGGGCTGCTTGGCATCTTTCAGAGGCATACAGGATTTCTGCGATTTGACAGGTCATCTACAAACAATATGATGATTTCTGTCATTTTTATTGTTTACTAGAACAATCCTACTAAAAATCTCAAAAACCAGGCTGGAGAGATAGCTCAGCAGTTAAGAACACTAACTGTTCTTCCAGAGGACCTGGTTCAATTCCCAGTAGCCACAGGGCTGCTCATAACTGTCTGTAACTCCAGTTCCAGGGGACCTGACATCCTCACACAGATACACATGCAGGTAAAACACCAATGCACATAAAATAACAATTAGAGAGCTGGCTTCAGTAACTTCTTTGGCGTACTCTTCTGGGTGCTCTCTCATTCAGAATGTCAGGGTTTTATCATCTCACGGTCCACGACGTTCTTTTCTACATTTCTTCTAGTCTGGCTGGGTAGTATACCTGCTCCAAGTCAAAGTGGACAAAGCCCTCTTCCTTTTATTACTATTGTAAAGAAATTTAAGATGGAAGTTAGCATTGACTCTTAGGGTATGTCTGCTCATGTTCTACCTTGCCAGTGAGAACAGATTGAAATGGAGCTGTAAAGCATTCCCCTTCCCCCAAGAAATTGTTACTTTGTCAGAGTGCTTTGTACCATTCTTGAGAATCTAAGAATGAGGATTTCATCAGAGATTATTCCCTGAGAATTTGGAAAACATCTTCTTATTGTTTATTTTTGGGTTTTGTTTGTTTTTTGCGG